TTAGATGCCATTTAGAAAGATTAAAGTTAGGTATAGGCAGCCTTTTTTCGGGCATAGGCAGGCATGACGTACAATACATCATAAGGTAGGTGTGCCTATGTACTAAAAGAAAAAAAAATCAAGGTCAATTTTTAATTAAAGATAACGCAACTATTTTCTCAACAAAAGACCACACGTATAAGCATCTGATTTAAAAATAGTGAAAAGTCGATTTTTTTCTTTGGGGAAAAACTTCTTCCTATAATTAAAAAAATGAGATCTTGGTAAAATATTATCAGTAATGACAGCGATTAACACTGGTGCGTGTGATTTATTTCTAACCTCTTCATTTGACCATACAAAAATGTTTGTAAAAGAAAAAGTATATTTATTCTGTAGAGAAAAATAATTATTGACGTTTCTTGTTTCTGGAGATGTTTACACGTATGGTCTTCCATAGGGAAAATCGACAATGCTTTAAAATGCTGACAACGAAAACAAAAAAATGACAAAATTCAATACTGTATTTAATTATTGTTATGTGTATGAGTTCGTGTAAAGGAACACGTGAGAACGAAAGAAAGCAAATAGCATTTTAATAATTGTCTTTTTTTCCTCATTAAATTAGGCGTACCATTCAGAAAATCAGTTGGAGGAGGGGCATTTGGCCCGCGGGTCGCAGTTTGCCTATCACTGCTTTAAGTTATCAAATATGTAAACTTTTCTCTAAAAAAAAAAAAATTGTATACAGAAATCACGTTATTCTGTTGTTGCATATAATCAGGGAACATTCCTACTCGGGTAAGGGGGTATTATATTATTCGTTTTCAGTTTAAGACTCCCGGTTACAAGTTCTGACCTTACGCAACGTCCAATTGTTGGTTCGCATCTTGCATTGTGATGTTGAATATTATGGCTTCTCGAATTTACGACACAAAGGATCCATCCTGTTTGATTCAATAAAACTCTGCTTTCGGCAATTAATGAAGCCAATTTGAAGCCCCACTTTGTCCAACATTGTTAAGGCTAACCTTTCACTAACCTCTAGTCATCAAACTTTGGACAAGGCCTCCAATTAAAAGTTTATCAAAAACACAAATACAGTATTAATTGGACAATTCAGTCTCGTGCCTGGCAAACCACAATAGCGTAGGGTATTTTGTTTATTAGAAACAGAAAAATTTCGTTAGGAACAAAGAAACGAGTACAGAACTGGATTTAGTGGCGTGAAATTACACAACACAAGGGGCTTAAATGCGCGGGGGTGTGTGTATATATATATATATATATATATATATATAGAGAGAGAGAGAGAGAGAGAGAGAGAAAGAGAGAGGGATAGTCATGCAATAGATAGTGATTCAGACTGATAAATGAGAAAGTCGAGTTTGAACTCCAGTTGAGTTTATTAGGTTCACTTCAGACATTTATTCAGCATGCGTGATACAGACTTGGACGATCATTTATCTTCCAATACATGACTGACGAGGCAGATTTTTTCCCGCAGTAGGTTGCCATTTCTTTCTGCGGTAGACCCGTTGCGTCCTGCTATTTACCCATAACTGGTGGGGGGAGAAGAAGTAGAGAATTCATAACTTCCTCAATTATCAGATAAGTAAATGTAATAGATTCGACTAGAATTCGAACTCGGCTCTTCGATTTCTCAATCCGAGCCGTTATCTATCACCGTGCCGACATTCACTTACGTACTAATAACCTTGGGAATGATATGAATCCATCTCCTCTTTCCCCAGCTGGGGTAAGTAAGTAGCAGGACAAACTGGGTCCTATAGCCTCGATGACGAACGGTCTAGGGGATGTACGTCTCTGCGAAGATCCGTTTGACGACATTGTGGCACACTGAGCACCAAGTCTCTGTATTCGGCTCTTCCAAAAATTGTGGTTGGTTCTGCACAAGGCTTCACCACTATAATCAAAGGATATGTGGGTAGTCTGGCTGTTTGTTTAAGAACTGAGCTGCTTGACCCTCATACGTCGAAAACGACGAAACAGTTCAGTATATATATATATATATATATATATATATATATATATATATATATATATATATATATATATATATATATATATAAATATAAAAATAAAAACATATAAACACATAAACCTAGGTCTGCTCTACGTTTGTATTGAGCGCTTTTGTTAGTTAGTTGTTTACTCGTATCGTTTTTTTTTCTTTGGGCTTCAAACCTGTATCTGTGCGATTTTTTCTACAGACTTTCATGTTTCTAGCTCTTTCTTTTTTTTAAAACCTTTTTTTCCTTCGAGATTGATTTGATTATTGGCAAATCAAAAATTCGAGGGTTTTTCGAAACGAGTATAGTTATATATATATATATATATATATATATATATATATATATATATATATATATATACTGAACTCTTCTCTTTCTCTTCTTTTGTGAGTTATATTATGTATAAAACTCCATCAGGTGTTTAATTTTTTTCATTATTTTACCTCAATCAAAGCGGTAATGCCGCTAGTACACAGGGGTGACGGAGAGTGCAGCTGAAAGAAAAAAACATGGTGGGGGGACCGAGGAGAAAATAAAAGCTGAACGGGGTTCAAGAAAATAGAATATGGTGATTGACGCTGTATTTAAACTTTTTCTCGTCACAGATTTTCGAAATTTTTCCTATAAATAGGCGCGTTGCAGTAATGGATAGCGACTCGGATTGAGGAATCGGAGAGAGCCGAGTTCGTATTCCACGTGCTAATACCATTTGGGAACGGTATGAATCCATCTCTACTCCCCGCCAGCTATGGGTAAATAGTAGGATAGACTGGGTTCTTTAGCCTTGGGTGACGAACGGATTTGGAGAAGGACAACTCTGAATTCAAAACCTGTGGAGAGTCGCTTGAGTACCTTGTGGCATACTGAGAACCAGCTCTTTGTATTCGGCACTTCTAAAAAGTATGGTTGTTTCTGCACAAATCTTCACCACTATAATTAAATAATATGTGCGCATAGTCTGACTGTTAGTTCTAAGAACTGATCTTCGAAAACGTCGGGAGAGTTCAATATATTTATTTTAATTTATTGCTCAAACCTTGTTTTTAAATGGATAGCCATATTTGAGTAGATGCTGTTTTCATTTATTTCTTAAACAGTACTTTTATTTATTTCCACCTGCCGGCCTGAATATTCGAGAAATCTTGTTAAAAAAATATTCGCCATCCAACAGGCTTCGAACATGCGTCCCCTAGGGAAAGCCGTCATTTTCTAACAATATTTCTCGGATAGTGGATGTAATTACCGTAACA